CCCTTAGTGATCTCATCAGCTCTCAAGGGTATTAGGTCTAAGCAGATAATTCCCACCTCAATAGACTCAGATAAAATCTGTGTCTTGAATTCCAATCCTACATCACCACTTGCCTACTAGATATCTCTATGTGGCTGTCTCATAGGCACCTAGTGTTTAGTATGTCCAAACTAACCCTTCTCCACTTTTCTCCATTTTTGTTGTTTGTACCACCATCTCTTTAGTCACACAGATTCAGAGCCTTGGAACCATAGCCTTGGTTCTTTCCTTTTCCTCAACCAGTTCCCAAGTTTTGTCAGCTCTACCTCCACAACATTCCTCATACCCATCATCTTGTTTCTACCCACACCTCTATTTCAGGCCTTCATCACCTCTACCTGCATCATTAAAATAGCCTCAAAATCTTTCTCCCTACATGCAGGCTTTCCTCTACCCAAACCATCTTCCACATAGCTACCAAACTGATATTCCTAAAGCACAAGTCTTACCATGCCACTGCCCTACTCACTAAGCTCTAGTAGTTCTTCATTGTCTTTAGGATAAACTTCAAGTTCCTGTATTTGGTATTTAAAGTCCTTCACAATCAGAATTCAACCTATCTTTCCAGACTGATTTCATATTACTTCTGCTTACCCATTCTATATTCCAGTTGATCTGGCCTACATTCTATCTTCTACCTCAATGTCTTTACAGAGGTTATTCCCAATGCTAAGAATATTCCCCCTCCTTGCATTGGCTTCTTGGAATGCTAGCTCTTTTCAATGTTCATCTTTAGGTTCTGCCTCTTACTGGTAGACTTTCATGATCTCCCTAGCTCTAAGTCTCCTCTCAACCCAGCAATTACTATTAATTGATTTTGATTTACCTGTGTACAAGTTGTTTCCTCATTGAAGAGTAGCAACTATTTCATGCCCTGTCCATAGAATGTGTTTAATAAATGATTGCTGATTTGAACTGAGTACTTCCAGTGCAGATGAACTCACTACCTCAACATGAAGCCCATTCCAAGGTATGTTTTGGGAGCTTAAATCTATATAACTTGAGAACATGTTGGGGTAACTTTCAAGTCTGAAAATTTAGCTTATAGTCAAGACTACAAATAAAAGACACCTATTTTTAAGGGCATCATGTTGCTATATTTACCACAACCCCACACCAACCAAGTTCACTCTCCTTACCTCCAGAACCCCCACTTTCTCACTTTGAAACCCAATTAGGGTTAAGTATTAAGTTGAGTAGAATTTTAAATTTTCTTAAATTGTATACCAAATACGCTGGATTTAACCAAAAACATGTAATTATACTTCTCTAATACAGACATATTTCACAGAGGTTCAGGACTCTACATTGTTGGATTATGTCACTTCTTTTTTCTTGTCTAAAGATTGGAAGTGTGAAGCATATTAAAATCTCCAAAGATCATAGAGTTTAGAGAGCTGGAAGGGGCCTTAGAGATAATTTAATTCAAAGATGAGAACACTGAAGTCCAAACTTGCAATTTAAGTGACTTGCCCCAAGGGCATACATTCAATAGGTGGTAATGTCAAGTTTCCAATCCAAGCTTTCTAACTGCAAACCTGGTGCTCTTTCTAAAGTAAAATTGGCTAGGCATTTTCCCAGAATGCTCCAGCTACTTTCTTGCATGGTTATCCTGCACCACCCCATACCAGTCTCCTTCCACCTCTGGCCTTAATCTTGTACATATTGGTATTCAAATATTAAATTGACGCTACTCAAGACCTTTTCTTTCCAGGAATTTAACTCAGGAAATGTGAGACACTGGGTAGCCATGCCTTCTCAAGTTGGATTTTGAACCAATGATGAAGAGACTAAGGACCACAAAGATGATTATTTTGGTCACAATATGACCAAAGTGGCAGGTATGAGCAAAAGCCAAAGTCTATTCTTTAGGTACACAAGTATGGAACACATCTGCCAGTTAAGCCATACCCAAGATTATAAACATGGATGTAGGATGTTATTCATGTTGTAGGATGTTATGATCCACCTTGCTTTGTTTCCTAAAAGTTCTAATGGATTTGGGATATGTTTTCTAAAATATCTATCTCCCTTTTTGAACAATACTAGACATCAGAGGGACAGTTGACTGTGGCTAGGAGTGAAGATCATGGCTACCACAGAATCATATTCTTTGAGTGAAATTAGTTTCTGTGCAATTCAAATATATACTTTTGACCCCATTCTACCAACAAGATGTCATAAAAAAGATCACTGGATTTAGAATAAAACTTGGGTTAGAATCTTGCCTATGCCACTTTTACACCGTGACCCCACATGAGTCATTTGATGTCTCTGAAACTCAGTTTCTTTATCTCCAAAAGGAAGAGACTGGATGAAATACTCCCAAACATGTCTTTCAACTTGAAAGTTCGATAATCCCTAGTTGACTGTACCATAGTACTAAAGACGTTGGACATATTTTTGAGACAGTAAGTTTTAGATTTAGACACGATAACCAAATTGAGATGTTCTGTAAACAGCTGGATATGGGAAAGGTCAGAACTTGACATACAGATCCGGGAGCATCTGGGAGCCACTGACATACTAGCAGAAGTTTCCAGAGGGTAAAGGACAATTTGTTTAGCACTAAGTCTTAGAATATTTATATAAGCAATGTGTAAAAAGAAGAAATATTGAAAAATAAGATATCAGCAAAGATATAGAAAGGGGTCCAAAAAGTAAAACCCAAATAAACATGGAAATTCTAGGGTAAAGAGTACAATAAGGGCATGACTAATAAGGTCAAGTGTCTCTGAGAGGTGAAGAAAAATGGAAAACAAGGAAAAACATTTATTTGCTCAGGAAAGGGTGACCTCTTAAAATATGTGAAACCAGAGGTCAGATACATAAAGTGACCTTAATAAATGCTTGAATTGAATTTAAAACAAGCAATAAGGAATGGATGCAGTCAATTTAGACTACCCAATAAATATGGCTATGTGGGGGAGAGGGTGGAGAAATGGCGTGCTAATTGGAAGGTGAGATTGGTGGTAATGGTCAAATAATAATGTGTTTTTTTTCTTTTTCTCTGTGCAAGTAAAGGAAGGCCCGAGGCTAAGTCAGAAAGGAGGAGAAGAATGGGAAAGAATGATTCTAGAGAGAAGGGAAAAAGTTCATGAGAGTGAACATAAGGTCAAGGCCCCTCCTGAGGTGGAAATGGATGGAACCTTAAACAGAGCAAGAGATATAAACTTTTTGAAGATGAATATCAGCCTTTTCTCATAAATTGAAGAGCAGATGAAAGGGGGAAGAAATATTTGTTTCTGTGCAGTAATGAAAACCAATTTATCTGATCAATAACATCTCTTTCACAGACTTGAAACATCACCTTGCTGTCCTCTTCAAACTAAAGAATTCAAAACTTAAAAAAAAAAAAAAAAAAAAAAAAACTCCTGTTTGTTACTTTCCAAGCTGTTTTCCTTTCTTACAGGCCCATTTCAAAAGCAGTCCCATCTTTTCTCTCCATTAATTTTGCATGGATTCCCAGAACCCGTCATCACTAGGTTCACTTTCAGATACTTCTGATGTGGGCTCAAATTCAAAATTGCCTCCTTCAGCCTTGCGATATCTTGTTACTAATGTTGGTAGCCTGTAGTTTAGTTGAGTTTCCGTCCTCAGATTTAAATCTGAGCTAAACTTGACTGGGGGTGTGTTGGCAATGATGGCATAATGAGGCAGAATACCAAATGCTCCAGATCCAGTTCACAACACAAATCAGAAACTGAAGCACCCAGATCCAGGTTATGCAAACTCCAAAGAGGAGGGGTGAAGAGAAAAGCCCACATCAAGCAAACCAACCAACCTGCAGAAAATTAGGTGGTATCTGGAATTCATTCCTTTATTTGTCATTCTCAGTACATGATGCAATATAAAGTTGCCCAATTTTTATTTGCATTTTTCCCCGTTTTCCAGTCCATGCTAAAGCTCTCCAACCCATAAAATCCCATTTAAAAAGAGAAAGAGAGAGAAACTCCCCACCCCAAGAAATTTGGACTACAGTCTAGGTGACACAGTATGGTCAGAGGTGACCCCACCCACACCTGCAAGAGTCATGCTCATAAAAGATGGTGTGTGTGTGTAAAGGAGAGGAAAAAAGGCAACGCCAGAGTCACAGTTTTACCCTCCTCCCAGAATTCTCACACCCACCTGGTTTGGAAGCTGGTAAAGATCCTAAACCTAGACTGCGAGCCTCTTCTTACTGCAAAGTGTGTGTGTGTGTCTGTGTGTGTGGATTTGTTGTGGGGAGGCCCACAAAAATTCATACTCGCAGTCTTCTACCTTCCTCCTTGAACTCCCCCTTATACCCTTTCCTTCCAGTCCCTAAGTGGGAGCTTGGAGGTGCAATCCCTCATGGTCACCGACTCACAGAGGTAGCTACACCTTTTCCCAGCCAACAAAATGGCAGGTTAGCAACAGGCAGGCGAGGCTGACAGATCCTGGCTTTGCTCTAGGTTCCAGCCACCCTTCTGGCACGATCCTTTTCCAGGAGCTCCGGTCACCCCATCTCCAACCAAAGGCGAACAACCCCTTTCCCCTTCAAGATGCCGACCCATTCCCCATTTTGGATCTTTCTCCCTTTGCTCCTATCTTAAGCAACAGGCAGCGAGTAGCCAAACACGGAAACCGAGAGCCAGGTAGCCAATGTAACAGGTGCCAGGGCAAGCAGGGGACCAGGCCAGACTGGGTGGGCTCCACGAGGGTGGGGTGGGGCGGCGCGGAGTGGGGTGGGGGGGAAGCTTGGGGGTGGAGAAGAAGAAAGGGGGTGAGCAAAGGGATTTGGGGGGAGGGGGAGAGGACAGAGAGCGAACAGAGGAGCAGGGCACTGGGGGTTACAGAGTCTGGCATGGACAGAAGAATGTTTCTTCGTTGATTCCCTGTCCCCTCGCGACCCTGTTCCCATAGTCCCCACCTTTACCTATCCCCTCCCCAACTCGCTTTCCTGACCCTCTTCCAAACACTTTCGCCCGCTGCCCACTTACAATCTCTAGACAGACGAAGGCTCCCGAGTAGGTCCGGAGGATATCAGTTCCTACGGGCAGGGTGACCCTGGGCGCCGGGAAAGCCCCAGCGGGGTTGGGGGGCGGTGGCATAGATCCGCCGGCCGACATGCTGCTGCTGCTGCTGCTGCTGTTGCTGCTCCAGCTACTGCTGCTACCCCTGCTGGGTGTGCAAAGGCTGCGCGACGCCCGCCTCCACGGCTGCCAGTGCTGCCACCGCTCAGGCTGGCGCAGGGACTGCTGCTCTCCGCTCGGGGTCCCAGGAGTGCCGGGAAGGGAAAGCAAGGGAAGAAAAAGGAAAGGAAGGGAATGGGGAGACGCGGATGAGTAGCAGAGGCACTTCCCTTCAGGCAGGCGGGGGCGGCTCGCGCCCCGTCACGTGAGCCCAGGTGAGCCCCGATCCCCCTGGGCGTTTTCCTCGAGTCACGTGTGCCCAGGGCTGGCACAGGTGCCACTGCCCCGGCCCCCCCGATGCACAGCCTTCTGTTGGCTTTTCTCCCTCCCCGAGCCTTGGGCACTCGGTGAGCAACTCTCTGGAGCACCAGGACTCTCATCTTCCTCCCACCACAGATCAAAAGGAAGTCCATTAACCTATTGTCTCTTTCTTCTTTTTCTTCCTCCCACCCTCTTCCACTTCCTTCCTCCCAAGCCTTTGACCCACTTAGTAGTTAGATGGAGAACAAGAGACTCACTACCTGCCAAGGTGACCTATGAAGTGCAATCACAAGCTGTTTCCAAAAGACTGGATTATTTTTAGGAGGTGGTGGGAAAAGGTTAAGTGGATTTTCTAATTTTAACTTTGTTTTGTAAAAATCACATTTTCTCTCTCAGTAAAATACATTATTTTGCAGTGATAGTCATACATATTTTCCATGTAGATAATTTGTTCTTGCAGATACCACTTAAAAAGTATTCTTCCCCAATTTCCCATTGTTTATGCTTTACTGTTGTCGTTTCATTAGTATTGGACTCTTTGTGACCCCATTTGAGGTTTTCTTGGCAAAGCTATTGGAGTGGTTTGCCATTTCCTTCTCTGGCTCATCTCTTACAGAGGAAGAACTGAGGCAAAGAGGGTGACTTGCCCAGGGTCACACAACTAGTAAAGTATCTAAGGTCAGATTTGAACTGAGAAAAATGAGTCTTCCTGACTCCAGGCCCAGCACTCTATCCACTGTGCCCCTAGCTGCCCTTTTATGCTTTATGAAGGGGTTCTTAACCTGGGGTCCATTAACTTGAAACAGTCATAACTCTTTTAAAATGATTATTTTCCTTTGTAATATTATGTTTAATTTTATGCATTTCAGCACATCCTTTGAAGAACACGTCATAGTCTTCACCCAATTGCCAAAGGGGTCCATGAAATAAAATTGAGAACCGTGTCAGCAACTTGAATGTGGAGACTCTTCTAGATAGGACATCTGAGCTCTGAACTTCTATCCCTGCTGCATTGTACCCAAGTTTTATCCTGGATTTTAAGGATTATTTTTAAAGGGGAAAAGCAGGAGTCCTACTGGGGAGGAGTAGAAGCTCCTCCCCAGTTGCCAGCTGAAGGTGTGTTAGCCAACATTCTCAAAACAAATAAAAAAGGACCAGGTTAATACCAGAAAGGCAGATTCCCATTTAAAGCTGAATCTTATAGGTGATTTTTAATTACTAACTCCATTAAGCCAGTAGGAAGTAAATTTGGGTATATATTCTAAAAAAAAAAACTGGCATAGTCAACAATTTTAATAAGTGAAATTATTGGGTGTGGTAGTAATACCAGGACATAATGATAAAACTGGGTGTAGATGAAACTCTGTGACTACCTCTTACCTTCACACCCAGGGAATCCCTTCCTTTGTACTTACCAGGTGACTTGTATTCCTTTGAGAATGTACAACTGTCCAATTGTCCATCAGCAATATACCTAGCAATTACTAAGTACTTTTCAAGGGGCCATTTGGATTTATTTGAATCTAATCCCTTTACCTTGTATAGATGAATCAACTGAACTTTCCTCTAATTAGTGATTTAGAGACCAGAGGGACACGATCAAATAATTTAATCTGTAGACAGTTTCTTATATTTTCATAGAATCTAAGAGTTGGAAAGGGACCCTTCTAGAGAGCCATACCTGAAGAAGTACCCCCTCTACAATACAACGGACACATGCTTGAAGACTTTTCATGAACTCATTATCTTCCCAAATAGCTCATTCCATTTTTGGGTAATTTTAGTTGTTAGGAATTGTTTTCTCTGTCCTGATTAAGTTTAAATCTGCCTGCTTTGGACCTTCTACTCTGCTCCTATTATTCCTTCTGACATTGAGAGGGACAGGTTTATAGTGTAAAAGGGGAAGGTGGCCACAAAGTGCTATACTATCATACATGGATGGCAGTTATGGGATAAAAACAGTATAGATATATGGGTCTCTATAACCAATAATTTATCCTGGATATATCTTGTTTGTAATTGATGCTTTGCTTGTTGTCTCCCTCATTGGATTGTGAGCTTCTTGTCTTTTGCATTTCTTTTTATCCCCAGCACTTAGCTCAGTGCTAGCTATTAGTAGGTAATTGCCAATAATGAATTGCTTTTAGGAAGTGGTATAAAATATCATCCAGCAGATAAAATATCAGAAAATGAGATTAATTTGTCGTGCTGCAAGAACAAGAAATAACAGGTGCGCCCAAGTGTTGTACATAACCCCAGTGAATGTTTAAAAAAAAGTAAATAGTATATTGAAAAGATGTTCAGTGAAGTTTTATGGGAGAGTAAGGACAAGTAGTGCACAAGAAAAAGCATGGATAGATTGAAATTTGTCATATAATAAGGGAATGCTTACATCAGTGAAATCCCAGATCCACTGAAGTATTGCATTACCACTAGCCACATCTCCACAATCTTGGACTTTTATTTCAAACATTGGCTCCTCTTCCTAATCTTCTTTTTTTTTTTTAACTTCCTAGTATTTTCTTTTTTCTAATTACATGTAAAGATAGTTTTCAACATTCATCTTTGTAAGATTTTGAGCTCCAGATTTTTCTCTCTCCCTCCCTTCCCTCCCCCCTCTCCAAGACAGCAAGCAAGTTGGTATAGGTTATACATGTACAATCATGTTAAACATATTTCCACATTAGTCATGTTGTATAAGAAGACTCAGAACAAAAGCAAAAAACACAAGTAAGAAAAAAACAAAAACCAAAAAAAAAAAGTGAAAATAGTATGCTTCGATCTGCATTCAGACTCTATAGTTCTTTCTCTGGATGTAGTCAGCGTTTTCTGTCACAAGTCCCTTGGAATTGTCTTGAATCATTATATTGCTGAGAAGAGCTAAGTCTCTCATAGTTAATCTTTGCAATATGTTGCTGTTCCTGTGTACAATGTTCACCTGGTTCTGCTCACTTCACTCAGCATCAGTTTATGTAAATCTTTCCAGGTTTTTCTGAAATCTGCCTGCTCATCATTTCTTATAGAACAATAGTATTTTATTATATTTATATGCCATCCCCTACTTGATGGGCATCCCTTCAATTTCCAATTCCTTGCCACCACAAAAAGAGCTACTATAAATATTTTTTATACATGTGGGTCCTTTTCCCCTTTGTATGAGCTCTTTGGGATACAGACCTAGAAGTAGTATTGCTGGATCAAAAGGTATGCACGGTCTTTTAGCCCTTTGTGCATAGTTCCAAATAACTCTCCAGAACGGTTGGATCATTTCACAATTCCACCAACAATGCATTAGTGTTCCAATTTTCCCACATCTCTAATTTTTATCATTTTCCTTTTCTGTCCTATTAGCCAATCTGATAGGTGTAAAGTGGTACCTCAGAGTTGTTTTAATTTGCATTTCTCTAATCAATAGTGATTTAGAGCATTTTTTTCATATGACTATAGATAGTTTTAATTTCTTCATCTGAAAACTGCCTACTCATATCCTTTGACTATTTATCAATTGGGGAATGACTTGTATTCTTATAAATTTTACCCAGTTCTCTATATATTTGAGAAACAAGGCCTTTATCAGAAACACTGGCTGTAAAAATTGTTTCCTGGCTTTCTGCTTTCCTTCTAATCTTGGTTGCATTGGTTTTGTTTGTGTAAAACCTTTTTAATTGAATGTAATCAAAATTATCCATTTTGCATTTCATAATGTTCTCTGCCTCTTGTTTGGTCATCAGTTCTTCCCTTCTCCATAGATCTCACAGGTAAACTATTCCTTGCTCTCCTAAGTTGCTTATGGTATCACCCTTTATGTCTAAATTATATACCCATTTTTACCTTATCTTGGTATCTTCTGAATCTTCTTATACAACACTTACTTCTCTCTTAGCAAAGGACCCACTATACTGAGAAAACAGAGCCATCATACTCCCCTAACTCTGTACTTCAAAACTATTTCCATGACATTCCCGCTTTTGCTCATCTTTGAGGAAGAGGTCCTTCTGCTTGTCAAGACCAAACCCTCTACCTATGTCCTTGATCTCATACCTACCAATCTCCTTTAGGATTTTGACTCATCCATAATTTCCTCTTTTTCTCATTTTAAATCTCTTGTAAACTATCTTTCTCACTGCTGCCTTCCAATATGCACAGGTGTCCCATAACCTTAAAAACACTGGACTTTGCTAACTCCATTCCCAACTCTTGTTCTATTCCCTTTTCCCTTTCAGAACCAAATACTTAAAAGAAAAGAATAATATTATACTTGTTTTCTCCACTTTCTTGTCTCATTTTGCTGTTGCAACCCTTTGTAATATGGCATCTGACACCATTACTTAACTGAAACTTCTCTATCCAAAGTTACCAATGTTTCTCTTAACTAATAAATCAAATATACTTTCTTCAGCCTTCATCAAAAGCTGACTCAGGTTGTGTTACTGTTGCTAGATCTTTTCCTGGTTCTCCCATGTGTATGATTACCCCTACCCAATCTCCTTTGCTGGATCATCATCCATTTCCCTGTCATTGAAAATGCTTTCCAAGACTTCATCCTGGGCACTCTTTTCCTTCTGAATATTACTCTCTTTGGTGATGTCATCAACTTCCAGAGGGTTAAATTATTATATGAGAGCAAGTGACCCCCAAATGTATACATCCAGCCCTCATCTCTTTCCTGAACTTCAGTCCTACATCAGCATTGCTTAACAGATGTATCCACCTTTAATTGAAGGACTGGAATTTAAGAATATGTCAAATGACCAAGCAGTATCAATTGACACAATGCAGTTTATTTTATCCGGTAAGCAAAGAAAACACAGATTACATGAAAAATTTTATTTCAAAGTTAAGTTATGATCAACCTTTTTTTGGTATCAGTTTAGTTCTTCTAGTGTTAAATCCACAACTCAACATGTATC